CAATGACCGTCTGGACTCCGTGAATGACCATAACTTCTTCTGCGCTTATCCCGCGCATCTCTTGAATGTCCTCCTGGAGAAGTCTCCAGGTCCGCCATCGGAGGAACGATGGTGGGATGCCCTTCTCTCCGCCTGCCTGACTCTGGGGTAATTCCGTCGATGGCAGACAATGGAATCTCGTCGTTGTTCGCCATGGACGGCGATCAGATGAGCCTGGAAGACAAGGTTTTGTCTGTCAAGTTCCCACAGACGGCGCCAATTATACGGGGAGCAAATATTCAGGCAAGCCCGTATTCCTTTCTTCCAAGCTCCGTTTCTGTCCGATCACCTGCGTGCACAACAGCAGTGAGCTACCCGGCGGTGTATGGTTGGAAAACCCCTCCGACGACCAAGTTAGCACACACCTGAAGATAAAGAGAGTGAGGAGAGAGTTGAGTATAATTGTTTCTCTTACCAAATGTTCATCTCCTTTGACATGGGGGGCGCAGACCCGCTTATATACCTTCTACGCCCCAAATCTACTTCCATTCGTCTCTCGACACATGATGCTGCTATCCTATCCGTCAGCACAAATCTTGCTGTACATTACCTAACCCAACTGCCAGCCCACTCTGCTGAGAGCTCGGCAACCGGGGTACAGCTTCACGGCCACCGACATTCAGGCTGCACTTCATGCCCACATGCAGCAATAGCCGAGCTCTGTCCCTATCGTGCCCGACTGCATTCCGGCAAAGTTGAGCTCCGGAAAGGCCACGCCGATCAACCAAAGGCTTTCCTGCCGCGCTTCTGGCACGAGCTTCATTGCCGAGCCAAAGGTGTATGCCTTCTGGCCGAGCAACGCAAGTTGCACGGTCACCACTGGTGCGAGTAGTTCGGCCACGGGCCGAGCGGTCCCAACCTCGGGCAAGTACTAAGCTATCTCGGCCCAACATGTCCTTGGGCCTTCAACATGCTCGGCTTTTATCTCAGCCCACTTCTGGCTCATAAATCTCCCTCTCAAAAATAAAAAGAGAATGTAAGATGAGATAAGAATGAGATATGTATTTTTTATACTAGGAGACTATTTTATGTATAAAATGAAATATATTTTTAAAATACTAAGATAAATCGTATTTTTCACAGAAACAAAGGAGTCATGACCCTTCAGAGTTTTCTCCTAATTTCGTCTCTGCATATAAGGAAACAGTGTTATCTTGTTCGACCCATTTCCAACTATTCAAATTTTTTAGACTATTAGTGCTTAACAATTATTATTTTTTAAAAAAATTTATGTACATATATATTGTATCATTTTCTGGATTATGGGACATAACAGGGGTCCAGCATAGAAGATGTGGCATTGTAGATGCTACATAGAAAAGTTAGATAGCTTTAGTCAACAAAGACAGTTAAGGGTATTTTTGACTTTTAACTTTTGAAGGCATGTGGAAGCCTACATGCAAGAAGGCAATGTTGGGAGATCTCAATGCAAATGGGACCGATATCCCTTTATTTGGCAATCCTTGTTTCACCTTTAGTTGCTCACAAGCTTCATTTATGTCCCCTTTCTTTAATTAATTGTATTAATCCTAAGAAAATGAATAATGGCTTCAATATCTCTAGGTCTCTCTCTTTTTGCTTTCTTTTAATTTATTTGTTGTTTCTTTATTTTTAGATCTCACTAGCATGAGGCAAAACTATGCCCACCCTTTTGAGATTCCTCATTTGAAGAGTCTAGTGGTAAACAAAAAAAATAGTATATATATATATATAAAGTCTGGAAAAAGAAATTAATAAACTAAAAAATCTTGGAAGTGTTAATGTAAATTTAAAAAAATAGGAGGATGCAAATGACTTTTTCTAAACATTAGGTAATAATGGGTTGTGGGGCCATATTGGATCAATTTATTTGTTGTTTGTTTATTTTTAGATCTCACTAGCATGAGGCAAAACTATGCCCACCCTTTTGAGATTCCTCATTTGAAGAGTCTAGTAGTAAACAAAAAAAATAGTATATATATATATATAAAGTCTGGAAAAAGAAATTAATAAACTAAAAAATCTTGGAAGTGTTAATGTAAATTTAAAAAAATAGGAGGATGCAAATGACTTTTTCTAAACATTAGGTAATAATGGGTTGTAGGGCCATATTGGATCCCACACCACATGCACTTGAACAATGCATATTGTTTTTATTAAAAAAAAAAAACTATATACGAGTTTGGGATATATTATATGATGACTAATAACATACCAATAGAATTTTTAAATAAAATTTTGTATACATAATAATATAATTTTTTTTGATTTTTTTATTTTCAATCAAATCATTTATTATTATGCTCATAATTTTAAAAATATCATGAACTTATAATTTTAGATGTGTTTTCTGTAGGTATACAAATTATTTTTTAGTACCCACCTCTATGAACTGAATTACTATTTCATTCAGACCCCTCATTTGTCACTGACAGTTTTGGACGTAAAATAAGGAAGATAGTCTTAACAGCCAATACACTAATCCCATTTGAAAAGTTGGCTATTTTAATAAATTATTTTAATTTTTGACTATTTTAATATGTTAAAATAGTTGTGCTTGGAAAGATGATTGAATTTTTTTTTTTTATAGTTAGATGTGAGTTTGTGAGAGAAAAAATGAAATAGTTATAGGTTTGGTGTAATATTTTATCTTATTAGCTATTTTATCTATTTTAGCCCAAAAAGTCAAAAAAAAGACTTCTTTCCAAACACCCCCAACTGTTAGCATTTTTTAATAACCTAGTATCTGAATTAGTTTACGCATTTCTCGACTAATTCTGAAATTTTGAAATTAACGATCGGGCAAATAATAAAATATACTTCAATCCAATAATGGAGAAACTAAAACTATAGGACTTGTGATCTTGATAGGGTTCAATTATTAGCTAGAATAACTAGGCAAGTTCATTGAAAAATAAATGTGTAAAGTATTTCCAATATTTGCAAATCATGTACACCAAATATGAGCTACTTCATATAATTGTTGCTATGGTTTCATCAATCTGGGTTAGTGGGAACTTGGTAAAGCTAGAAACCAAAGCAGATGATGATGATATATATAATGTGGTTGCATGGTCATTGTCATGTTGGTTTTTTTAATTGCTTTAGTTAGCATATTTCTCTGCTATTGAAAATCACAGCAAAACTACCAGATGAGATGCTACATCACAATGTACCATCTGTCCTGAGAGCTGATCTCACTTCTAGTCAATAATGCATTTGGTGATATATCTCTTATGCTAGCTAGGCTGAAAAAGAAAATAGAAATTTACGTAAAGAAGAAACAGAAGAAATTGGAGTCCTTGGAACCAATTTTCATGCCATTAGTCTGTCTTACATGAATTTCTTTATTTCTCCTAAAGTACTCGTGTTTATTATATATGACAAGTATAAGAGTCTGGTGGAACATGTTTACTGACATCAATAGGTTAGTAAGTTAGTCGGTCTGTGGGGGAAGGGATGGGGTTGTCGGGGATTGAACCCATGACCAAGGTGAAGAGACCCTTGAGCTACTAGTCATCTTCAAATCATTAACTTTGTGTTTGATTTGGAGATTTGGAAAAGAAAAGAAAAAATATAAGAAAAGTATGAATAAAATAGGATAAATTACCAATAAGTTCTAATAATTTGATTTAATTTTCATCAAGTTTTCTTAAAAATAAGTTTTCGTAAAATCATCGACAAAAATAATTTTTTGTGATATTTTTTGTATATACTGATAAAAATTGATAATTAGTGACTTTTTTTTGTCACGATTACAATCAGTGACGGTTTTCTGTGACGAATTTTTTAAATTGTCGTTTAAATTTCAAAATTAGTTACTTTTTTATGATTTTTTTAAACTATCACTAAAACTTATAATTAGTGACATTTTTTGTGATAATATTTTCAAAATGTCGCTAAAAATTAACAATTAGTAACGTTTTTTAATAATATTTGATGAAAAATGCTATTAATTTTCTTTCTCTTTTCAAATCCTTTCTCAAATTCTCTAGCCAAACACAACATAGTCAATTCTATTCAACTTGCTTACAAGCAAATCTAGTAGGAGATTCAGAGATTTGTTTTACAAATCCACCCTTGTCAACTCAGAATTTATCTAGAAAAAAAAAAAATCAATGACTCAAATTCATTTCATATGTAAATCCCACAATTTATCGATTCAAATTCCACCACAAAAATACATCCGGGTCTGTAAGGGTGGTTCCCGGCATTTTTCTTGTTTTATATAGCCTATAAGCCAATATATGAAACAATGCCAAAGATCTTCACAAGCAAGACTGCTCAAGGTCAGAGTGCTCTCTATAGGACAATTATATAATTGTACCCAAAGAGACAACAATTGATCAAATCCACTGTTTCCTAGCATGGCATGGCCTGTTGTGTTCTGAGCTTGATATTCTTATATATTTCTCATGTCAAACAATTCATCAATCTGATGAATTGGCAGTGAATAATTGCTTTTAACGGGAGTTACAAAACAATCTACAGTAGAAAATGGCAGAAATTTGGCAAGAGAAATTTCTCAGAACCACGTCTTAATCCCTTCCAGCCTCGAGGCCATCCATTTGTGTGGCAATTATTCACTGCCGTGGCAATGCCACAAATTGATTTGGGTCATCAATTTGTGCAAGTTTGTGATGGCCCAGATTAGTTTATAGCATCGACATGTCATTGCCTTGCTCTTGTTTAGGAGTTACGAAACCGTCTACAATGGAAAAGGATAGAAATTTGGCACGGAAATTTTTTCAAATATTATCATAATTCCTTCTGGCCTTAGCCTGTGTTTGAATTTTGAATTTGTCAAAGGATTTGTGAAGAGAGGGAGAAAGAGATTTTTTCATTTCTCTTTTGTCTTCTCATTTTCTTTTACCTAGACAAATCTTTTGCAAATTCAAGATTCAAGCACAACTTACTAAAAGACAATTTATAGTCAACCAAAAGATTTAGCGCAAGAAATCAGACCAACGAAAATGCCAAAATGACCAAAATAACACACAATCTATTGACCAAATGGTTAAGAATTCAAGCAAAATCAATCATCCACCATAATCACACATTGCATAGGAGCACCTATTTTCACCAGGACACTCCTCAAAACAAGCACCACAGTGCATAGAATCACTTTGAACATCAACACACTTTCCATCGCAACAAACAAGCCCAAAACCACAAGCATGCCCACATCCCCCACAGTGGTTTGAATCGCTTGTGATATCCTTGCAAAACTTTTGAAAACAACAAGTGTCACCACCCCATGGATTCCTCTCCCGGTCCGAGCACATGGCCGGATCGTCACCACACCGGAGAATCCTTTGCCTTCCGCGTCGGAAAAAGTTCGTGTGTGTTGGAGAGTGAGAATCTGGCATACCCTTTTGGGCAAGAGTAAGCCCGACTAGGAGGAAGACGATAAATGGCCAAAATAGATTTGGATTGGCTCTGGGGAAGGAGAATGGACCGGCATTTCTGGAATGGCAGAGTGCACAGGGCATGGAAATTTGGGGAATTGCAGAGCAGGCTTGACATGGGTGATCGGTGAACCCTATTAGATAGGAAAACCTGCAAGTAGAGTCATGTTTTGTAAAATCATATTATTTGTATCAGACTGGTAAGCTTTGTCAAATATGTAAAACATTAATTTAGAACAGTTGATTACGTAGAGGCCTACCTAACATGTTTTGAAATTATTCATGAGCATGCATGAAGTGGATATGAATGTGACTTGATCATATAAAACATTCAATGCATTTCCTCAAATTTCGTCTCAGCAAGTCAACGAGAATCTTCTAACTGCTCATTTTATTATGTAACTAGTAACCTACTGAGAATATTATAAGCATAACAAAGAACCATTTGCCTCAGCCGGTTGGATATGGAATATCAAGACCTAAACTAATGTGTGGGAAAATATATTTGACAATCAAGTTATTGAGTACTCATTTTTAGGCATTACACAACGTTTCTTAGTCAAGTTCCTCAATGACTAGTCAGTATGAGTTGCTTAAAGATAGACATCACAGAGGGCATGAGATCCTCCTTCTCCTTGTTCCAATGAACTTTCATCATGCCTTAGACATTTACATGCCTCGAGATTCCACTATAGTCAATAAGGATCAACGTCTTAACGTAACTTTCTATTCTGTAACATTTTATAAAATCCCTCGTAAAAGACTCCTTACAGAGTTTTGAGTATACAGTAAATACAAGATATCTCACAATAATATGGGTATGTATACATTTTTACAATCGGTATGAGGGAGATAGGAAAGAAAAATATGCATCACGCTAGCAAAAGAGAGCCTCATCCATCACTCCAACCTGAATTATCAAACTCACCCCTGCATGCATGTTTCTCACAAATGTCCTACTCAAATCAAATAGATTAGACTATGGAAGCAACTTTAAATGTTTGTTAATCTTTTAGCACCCTACCATTACCTTCTTGTCTCCTTCAAATATTTTTAATAGGTAGTGACAAAACATGTGACCACAACTATACAAGCACAAAGAGACAAGAACTCAAAAGCCTGATGAAATTAAAAGGGAAAGAATTGGACATTAGTGCTAATGATATACACAAGAAGTCGAGATACTGCCTTAGTGCTAATGACAAAGCAGCATCAGTTTGCCCTTTTATGATTTTTTTCTTTAATTCTTCTTTTTCATTGAAAGGCCAATTGGATCATATGGTTTGACCTAAGAAAGGAACACCAAAGAATCTCTAAGCATAAGATGCAATACATAAATTACCTTTTGGGTTATGCCTTTGAGGCTAGCCCAGCAGTTAAAGGGAGCAAACTTTGAAACAAGTCATAAATTCAAACATTTTGGATTCGTCTTTGTTAGTCTCTTTCAAACGTAATCAATACTTCTGATTTGCACGTGATTGTGAGAATCTAAGAAAAAAAAACCCATCATAAAAATCTACCCATTTTTTTTTTACATTAAATTATTGTCCTATAAGTGCTTTCGCATTAAATTATTGAACCAAAGGACCATCCATCTCATCAAAATAATTTCAAGTTGCATCACTTTTGAAAAATCTACTTGATTTATAGAGCATTAACCTCTCTCCTGTTTTGCCAATCATTACACATTTTTCTCTTTTAGTAAAGAAATTCCATAAAATTAACAACCATGGTTATCTCTACATCATTCAATTCACATCATCAAAGCAAGATAGGTCCCATTTAATCAACAAAAAAATGTATATATTACTTTGAACAATTTATATATATAGAGAGAGAGAGAGAGAGCGCTTTTCACCCTGACGCTAGCATGGAGGTGGATTGGGATGGGCCTCGCTCGCTTTTAAGCCCGATTCAGAGCTTGGGTTGAATTGGGCCTATATCGGGCCCAGACCAGAACGTCTAAGCCCAGATAATATGGACCACGTCTCCTAGTGTGAACCTCTGGGAATAAATGTCCACCAAAATAATCTCAGGCTTGGTTTGATCAAAATAGAGCCAAGTCCATTTGTTGGTTTGGTTTCTCATTTGCCTCTTTTCTTCACATTGAAAAATAAATAAATAAAACTTGATTGTTGAATATCAGTAGTTGACCGGGTGGGTGAAGTGATTTCTTACCTAGTGTAATTTTTAAGTGTTACAAGTTCAATTTCCTTTTTTCTATTTCCCTCCAAACCAATTGTACCCAAAAAATTTAAAAACACTGACAGTTGCATGATGGGTTATGGAAAATTCATAGTTCATGTAGGATAATCATCATCATTCATGAATTTCAAGTTTTATAGAGCCTAAGAATTGGTTGGTTGAGAAAGCTAAATTTCATGTGATTTGGAGGCAAGAGAAGATCATAAAATCGAGTTTCATAGAATGTTAAAGATTAGTATTAGAGGTGGAGAGCTATATATATTTGTCAATCTTAACATTAAGAACTCAAAAAATATATATATATATTTTTGTCAAACTCAAAACATTAAAAACTCAATATTGTGTACCTCATCAAAAAGTAAGGCAAAAATTAATTTAACATTAACATAAACACTGTTTTTGGTGATTTTGATGCCTTCTGAGGATAGGATATTTATTTTTCACTTTTTAAACATTATAAAAGCGCAATGATTTAAAAAAGAAAAACACTGAAATCTAGAAACCTTGGGAAATTTCAAACAAGATTCAGAGACAAAACATGTGCATACAAATCCGTGCCTCTTTGATTTGGCCTTTTTTAACTACTTCCCCCCATGACAAACTGTTGTACCAATTGGTTAGAGATTTGGAATGTTGTGTTCATTGCTATGGGGTTGAACTCCAAGCTCCTTTCTTCTCCCATTTCCTATGTTTAAGTATAAAAAATAAATGAATTGGAAGGTTTCCCAGTCAGATAAACTTATGATATGACTCATTTTAATTTTAAAATTTGTATATATAAATTGACGTGTATAAGTCCGTAAAGGGCATGAATCACTATGAGCAATCCAAGTCCATCACTTGGAGCCTAATACATAACCCAACTAGTAAGGTCCAGGACAGCTGGAATCTAACATGGCATAAAGAGCCAATAATATTTAGACACATGGCAGGTGAAGGACGAGCCACATCAGCAGACAAAGATCTGCAAAGTTATTGCTACTGCATATCACCATTAATGCAGCCCATCACAGCATTTATTACGACAACACCTCTCCGTCGGAATAGGACCCCGTTACCCTGAACAAGGTAAGCTACAGCATAAACTTTCGGCAAGGAGGTCAGGTCAGAAGGGATAGCGAAATGATTACCAAAGGATATAAACAAACGTTGAAGACAAGAACAAGGTTAAGCTTTTCTATTTCTCATCTCTCCCTCTACACTCTACGTCTCTTCCTGACTTACTCGTCGGAGGGTTCACTGGGGGACTACCCCGTTCCCCGTTGAACTTGTTTGCAGGTTATCCGATGGGCTTGATCATTTGGACCTGGGCTTAAGGAGATTGGACCAGTCCGATTCATTCACTGGGACAAACTGTATCATCAGTTGGCGCCGTCTGTGGGAAGTTGTTCTTATCCGGACACCAGTTGTGCTCATTGTCGCCGGAGACCCTGTTCTAACAACCTTTTCCTCCTACCCATCCAAGTGTATGGTCACGACTAGATCCATGGCTTCTCACCATAATGCTGCCGACCATCAAACCGACCCTCCCAATCCAAACAACCCACCACAATATATCATTGAGCTTACGAACAGCATTAACCGCATGGTTGAACAAAACCAGGCCCTGATAAATGCTTTACTCCAACTCCTCCATCACCTCCAGATATTCCACCCAACCAAGAAAGAACCCCGAGCCATACTGTTCTGCAACCCTATCCACCCAACTTGGAAGGTTTGTAACCTCCTCCCCCGCATATAAATCTACCACCTCCACCCCTACACCCTTCGGTCGTGGCACTAGCCCCTGAAGGGGAAGCCAGCAGCGTCCAGCCCCCATTGACTGACCATGGTGACCACATTCCCCTCTGGGACGCTAAACTCCGAGCAATGAAACTCCAACTCCAAGGGGTCATGCAGAACATTCAGCATAAACCCTCTACCACGGCAAGCTCACCATTTGTTGCCTCCATCCGGGACAAACCTTTGCCCGCCAAGTTCAAGATGCCCACCATTGACTCTTTTGACGGTACGACGGACCTAGTCGACCATCTGGAGACCTACCGTACCCTCATGATCCTCTATGCCTTCCCTGACGAGATCATGTGTCGGGCTTTCCCCGTGACACTGAAGGGGTCAGCTCGACTGTGGTTCATCCAGTTACCAACAGACTCTGTCTCCACTTTCCAGCATCTCAGCGACTCCTTCTTTAGCCATTTCATTGGAGCCCAGCGCCAACGCCACCTTGTAACCCAACTCCTCAACATCCGTCAGACCGAGGGGGAGTCGCTGCGCAGTTTCGTTACCCGCTTCAGCACCGAATCCCTGCAAGTAGCGGAAAATGATGACAAGGTCATCCTCACAGCTTTCATGGCCGGGCTACGATCGTCTGATTTTCTCTTCTCCCTCTCCAAAAACCCCCCGACCTCTATGGCAGCCCTACTCTCCAAAGCCCAGAAATACATGAATGCTAAAGATTTACTAGCCGCTCGGCAGGATCTAATACCTAAAAACCCGACCCCCAGAGAAAGGAGAAAAGACTCAGAACCCAGAAACACCTAGTATAACAGCCAAACACCTCACTATACCGACCGACCTCCTCGCGCTGACCGGTCGGCACCAGCCTGACCGCCCGGTCGGTTCGAGTGGTACACGCCCCTTAATTCTCCCATGGAACAAGTCCTCCACCAGATCCAACGGGACTACCCCCTCAAATGGCCCCTACTCTCACAGACCCCTTCAAATCGAAAAGACCAGTCCAAATATTGTCGTTTCCACCAGGACCATGGCCATAACACTGATGACTGCATCAACCTCAAGGATCAGGTCGAGACCCTAATTCGTCAAGGGCGTCTCAGCGGGTTCATGGACACCCGTCCATAACAGAGGCAAAGAACCGAGCCCTTCAGAAACAACCGTCGGCGTACCCCACCCCGGCAGCCAGCCCAACCTAACCAAGGCCATGATTGCCCCCCATAACAGCCTCGGCCGCCAGGTAATCCCTCTCCGCCAGTTGGTGAAATCCGAGTCATTTCAGGTGGCCTTGCTTGTGGCGGGCCATCCCGCTCCGCTCAGAGGGCAGAACTTGGGAAGATAAGGCAAGGCTCGGACAGAACAGTTTCCACGGTAGACCGACCCTCCAAACAGCCCAAGCAGTGGACAGAGCCCATCACCTTCACGGACGCCGACTGTACAGGCATCTGTTATCCTCATGATGACCCTCTCGTCATTTCTGCCCTCCTCTCTAACTATAAAGTCAGACGGG